CTTTCTCTCCTGACCACCCACTACTCAGGAACTCTACCGTCTCTGGGAACTCTGAAAGGACGGGCTTTGGGATGTAAACGTGGCACTGGTCCAGTTTCAAGAGAGAAATAGTAGAGACTGAAACTACTGAAAAAAATATAAGAAGCAGCATCCACCATAGAAGGAGATGACATAGAACTGTTTTTAACCCCAGTGGCACGGGGTCTACTCATGCAGCCTTGACCGTGTGTCAGCCTTCGCATGGCTTGGCAGCAGATATTATAGTAAACCAAAGTCAAGTCCAAATCATCATTCCTGCCTCTCTTTGAACGTGGATCACTGTTTGTAGACTTGGGCATTTAATCCAAAAGCGGAACTTTTAGAATGACATAGGCATTCATTTGCTTACGCATTACCAAAATAGCAATAAAATTCCAAGTATTTTAATAAATAATATATATACTTGATAGGGAGACAATAGAGTGGACTATTTCCATGAGTGGATGGAATTCCTTATGAGTTTGGTTCAAGGGCTAGAAGAACAAGGATGTGTTGCATGGCGGGGGGGGGGGGGGGGGTACTGATGATGGTACCTGGGCTCCATGGAACACATTTCCCTTCCCAAAGTACCTTGGTACCTTTTACGCCATTTTAATTCTACCAAAAAAATACACATGCTATTGGTGGGAAAAGTGTTGTCATTGAACTAAGGACAACAATCTCCCAGAGAGCTAAAGGAATTTTCTCCTTACTTAGAGTCTTATTGCTGTAGGACTGCTTTTATTTTTCCAACTATTAAAAAATTATTACAAATGCAGAGTCTCACTTTCCTCCTCTATACAAGGGGCAGAATATATTATCCACGTTATAAGGTTACTGGGATCATCCCATGGGACCGAATCCCTCTTACATGTGAGGGACTGCGCAAACAGCTGGGATACACTGACCCACTTCCTGACCCATTGAGGTCACGATGGTTCACTGGGGGAAAAACATACAATCGATATGAAACAGACTGACAACCTAGTTTTTAAATTGGGCAACAGAACAAGCACTTCGCAAAGAGGTTATACAAGTGGCCAAAACACATGGACAGGCGCTTCACTCGTCATCAGGAAAATACAAATACTGGGACCCCATCGCACACCCGCCAGAATGGTTACGTTGGAAAAGACCAAGCTTCGGTGAGAATGCGGAACAGCTGGTGTTCTCATACATTAATGCCAGAGTGGCCATCACTGCAACGTCTCTGGGAGACCGGCACTGTGCACTACAGCGGGCGGCACACACCCCATGGCTCTGTGATTCCACTCGAGTGTACGCCCAACAGAAAAACGTACATATGCTCACCAAACAAACATGTACTAGAATGTTCCTAGCAACGCTATTTGTAACAGCCCACAGGGGAAACTCTGAACCCCCGTCAACGGTGCAAATAAAGTGTAGTGGAGTCACACAATCGAGTCCTACCCAGAACTAAGAATGAAGGAACCTCAACGGCACCCGACAATAAAGATGAACCTCACAAGCATGGTGTTGAGCAAAAAAAAGTGCGCACTGTCCCATTCCACATGTATAATGTTCAAAAACAGGCAAAGCTGGTCTGTAGTGTTAGAAGCCCGTCAGGTGCTGCCCTTGCGAGGCGGTCGGGGACGGGAAGGGACTGGGAGGGTACGTGGACACCAGTAATGCTTTGTTGATCTGGGCGCTGGTCACCCCGGTGTGCTCATTAGGCTGTACACGTATGATTTGGGCACCTTCTTGTAGGTACTTTAAGCTTCATTTAAAAGCTTTTAAGAGCTCTTCTCTCATAACGATTATAAGCAGAACCACTGTGCACACTGAAGTGCTCTTGAACTTACTTTTTTCAACCTTTCATTTTCCAGGAGCAAGGCTTCTGTTTCTAGGTCATGTACATAGATTTCATTTTCTAAGTTCTTTAGAATTTCAAAATGACTTTTGAGTCTATCGCTTTCTTGATCTCGCAATTGTTGTAATTCTCGCTTCAGTTTACTCTGCTCAGACATAAAGCCCACAGTTAACTCACAGATTCAACGAGCAGGGCACTGATTACATTAGGCCGCCTGGACCACGTTCAGAGAGGAGTCCCAAGTAAGTCCTGAGCCATCAGCAAAGGCTATGCAGAACTTCCCGCAGAAAAACTTTATTTTAAATCCAAAAGCTGATTCATGGGAATTTATTCATGGACTTTGGGAAGCAGGCCCATGGGCCCTAAGTTAATTTGTTGAGACAACTTCACAAAATATCGTATATGTTGATATATGAACAATTGTCCAGCAAAAGTAGGGAAGAGGAGAGTGAAGTTTGTTGAGGATTTTTTGGAAGGATTTAATATTTCTTGAAGGAAAAGAATATTACTTTATAGATTTTTAAGAAACTTTCTGTTTTCTCGACAATCTCTACAGTTATTATACTGTTATAAATCCCAATCTTTATTCATTGCATAATCATCACTAGCAGCATCTTATTAAGAACATAAAATTGTATATATTGTATACTTACAATTTTCCCCTTCATATCTCTCTATGCCAATAACATGTTAAAAGTTATTTTTTAGCCGAAACCGGTTTGGCTCAGCGGATAGAGCATCGGCCTGCAGACTGAAGGGTCCCAGGTTCTATTCCAGTCAAGGGCATGTACCTTGGTTGCGGGCACATCCCCAGTAGGAGATGTGCAGGAGGCGGCTGATCGATGTTTCTCTCTCATCAGATAGAGAGTTAGATGTTTCTAACTCTCTATCTCTCTCCCTTCCTCTCGTAAAAAATCAATAAAATATATTTAAAAAGTTACTTTTTATATCAGTGCATCTCAAAGAATAGAATGTTTCCATTTTTAATCAAGCAACTCCACATACATGTTTATCATTAACTACTGATTATAAATTTTAAAAAGGTAATAAACACCTCTTTACCTGTTCCCTTTTCATCCACTCCCTCCCTACCCTGCAACCTCTGACCACTTATCCTTGTCTTCATAGGAACTTACCGAAGTAACAGATCTGAAAAGAACCTTAGAAAGCATAAGCCAATCTCCACCTTATAAATAAGGAAATCGAGGCCACCCAATGATGTTCCCTTGGTTACATGTTAGAGTCCCTGTCTCTCTCTTTATATATACACTAGAGGCCCGGTGCACAAAATTCGTGCATGGCAGGGGGGAGGAAGGTCCCTCGGCCTGGCCTGCACCCTCTCCAATACAGGACATCCCTCTCGCAATCCGGGACCGCTGGCTCCTAACTGCTCACCTGCCTGCCTGATCGCCTCTAACCACCTCTGCCTGCCAGCCTGGTCGCGCCCTAACTGCTCTCCCCTGCAAGCCTGGTTGCCCCCTAACTGCTCTTCCCTGCCGGCCTGATTGCCCCTAACTGCCTCTGCTTCAGCCCTCGCCACTGTGGCTTCGTCTGGAAGGTGGTCTGGAAGATGTCCAATCTAATTAGCATATTACCGTTTTATTAGTATAGTACTAGTGACCCGGTGCATGAATTCGTGCACCAGTGGGGTCCCTTCGCCTGGCCTGTAGGATTGGGCCAAAACTGGCTCTCTGACATCCCCCAAAGGGTCCCAGATTGAGAGAGGGTGCAGGCCAGGCTGAGGGACCCCACTGATGCATGATCAGGGCCAGGAAGGGACGTGAGAGGTTGACCAGTCGGGGAGGGACTGTAGGAGGGCTCCAGCACCTGCCTTGCCCATCTTGCTCAGTCCCGTTTGGCTGGACCCCAGCATCAAGCTAACCTACCAGTTGGAGCATCTGACCCTGGTCAGTGCATGTCACAGCAACTGGTCGACGGGCCGACTGTCTGCTCCCTGGTGGTCAGTGCATGTCATAGCAAGCAGTTGAGGAGCCTTAGCGTATCATTAGCATATTGCACTTTAATTGGTTGAACAGCCAACTGGATGACCAGACACTTAGCATATTAGGCTTTTATTATATAGGATACAGACATGCATATACACACAGATACATATATATATATATATACATATATATTGATATATGAACAACTGTCCAGCAAAAGTGGGGAAGAGGATATACAAATACACATACATACATATATATATATGTATGTGTATATGTATGTTGTTACTAAAATTTCAAAACATTAATATTAAAAGGGTAAGTTTAATCAATGTGGATTTCCTGAAAACTCCAAAGGTGCCAGGTAAGTATTACTGTGAGTATATACCAACATTTTTTTTATATCAACATTTTAATAGAAGAAAGAAGAATGGATGCATGGACTCTTTACCAAAATGTTCATTTGTCTTGTAAACTCTCTTGTCATTTGAGAAATCTGATCATTCAGTAAATTCTGTTCCTTTTTTTGTTCTATAAAAGAGATACAGAGAAAAAATAACTACCCACAATGTTCTTTGGCTTAAAAAACATTCATCAAAATAAGAAATGAACCTGGTTTTAAAAGTCAAATACTATGGCTTATAACAAAAACTAGCAGTCAGGTGATCCCCAACACTGCCCCCACCCCTTTGTCCAACTCCTAAGGCTAAAACCATAGCTGGAAATGATATAATTTCCAAATTTATGTTAAGAAACAGGAAAAAAATCTCCACGTGGTAGTAAAGAAGTTGATTCTACCTTTACCAAGTACAGGGAGAAACCACATAATATAGTTGCTACTAATTCTTAATTTTAAACAATCTTTAAAAAAGAAAAGGAAAAATTTGACAACAGCAACAGTAAGATTTTGTGTTATAAAGCAGAGGAAATTTGTAGATAAGAAAGAAACAAAACACCCAAACCCTAGAGAATAGAGTTAAAGGTGATGAGGAAAGGTAGAGGAAATTCAACCTTGCTTTGGTGGGTGAACCCCTCGTTAGAAGTCAATGGTGAAATCCTTACCTGGGCTTAAGGTCAATTACTTTGTGCCTCATACAAACCTGTGAGAATACGACCCAGCTCTTGAAACATTTTGTTTTTGCTCTTATATTCTTCTTCTGTCTCATGAAGTGTGGGAAGATATGTGACTAGTTCATCTTCCTTTTCTTTGGTACTTTCCATTTTCTTAACAAATTTTTGCTTTAAAGAAAGTAAAGCTGATTGTGAGGCATGGTTTCAGAGAACTGACATAACAGTCGAGAGTAGTTATAAATTATTTGAGGGATAGAGTTATCTCTTGGCCTTCTCCTGTCCTAAGGTGCATAGCAAGGTATCTGGCACATCCTAGATATTTTTAAAAATATTTGCTGGCTGACTCACTTATAAACTAAGACGATGAGAGTCAATGGCTTTCCGAAGATCCTCTCAGTTCTATAGCTCTATTGCTACAATTCTGCTGTTACCATGTGTGTACTCCCAAATCATTTGAGGAACTTCTCTTGGTTGACCATATTTTATGGGTAAAAAAAAACCCGAAACAAGCAAACAGGCAGCAGGACAGATTATACACAAGTTCTAAGAAATGTGCATGTAAGAAAGAAATGGGAGGGGGTAGCAATAATTGGATATACTTCTACAGCAAGCATGTCAAACTCGCAGCCCATGGGCCCCATGTGGCCCACAATGAATATTTTTGCAGCCCAGCCACTATAACGGCATGTCAGAAACATTTTAATTTAAATTTTGTGACTTAATTTTTACAATATCCGGTTACACATTGTTAATAACGAACTACAATGTTCGCTAATGACTGATTACTATAATCATGTTGCATTCATTTCCCTTACACGCCTTACAGGCAGGACCATTTCCCCCCTCCACTAATACTAGCAGC